ATATATATATATATTCCTATACGAGAAAACCGAGACATTCCTACTAGCGAAGGAAGGTAGTCGGAACCGGGCTTCATAGGGTGGATACGATTAGAGGGAAGACACTTGGATTCCTCAAGCGAGTAACCTCAATCCGTTGACTTTACAAACCGGGAACCGATTCCCACAATCCACTTCGGTTAAATTGAAGGAGTTCAAGAACTACTCGGTAAATACTATTTATTTGTATTTGTATTTACTTTATTATAACAAATAAAAATTTGTATGTGATGCATGTTTTAAAGATGACGATCAGTTAATTCGCAATTAGTATGTACGGGTGTTGTATTTATTCGATAAATACTTACTTTGAAAAATTTTAAATTCCGCTGCTTAAAGCCCGTACGGTACTATCGAACCCAACACATAAATGTCTATCAGTTTGCACAAAAAATCGAACGATATTTTATTTATTTAAGTTAATTCAATGTCCAATTATTTCTATTAAAAAATAATACGTTGCACTTTATAATTATACACCACGTTTTATCATCACTTCCTTTACACATCACTATGTTGCACTTTATAAAAAATCGAGTTGCACTTTACAGAACAACACGTTGCACTTTAACCGCTATTAGATTGCACAATATAGATTGGGACCGACCGAACTCGAATTTTTTCAGCCTGAAATAATATAAAAAATAATAAATAAGATTATTAACGTATTAAATATAATCTTGATATAAATAAAAAATATTTTAATTATTTTAGATAGTTCGGTTAACCCAACCGAATATATAAGTCAATTATGTTCTTTTTCAATTTGACTTGGGACAATCATACAGGTGGTCCGATATGCACTATACAGACCGACACCGTGCACTATTGTGTTGTACGAATTGCACTTTAATAACTGTTAGATTGCATAGTATATTTTATGTACGTATATACTAATTTTTTTATTCAAACAATAGTATAAAATTATTAATTGAAAAATATAAAATCCTAATAATAATTTTATGAAATTTTAAGTGAATAACCATACATATATTGTTACAATTATTTATCAACACTCTGTATTTAACATATTTTTATTAAATACTTGTAGTAAAATATATAATTAAACACCAATTGTGTTCTCATCAATTACTCAAATAAACAAGCATCAACTCACTATTTTAATTACAGATTTTTAAAATTGCAAATGAACCCCAATAATTTATCTAATTTACATACAAAAACCCCACAATTCACAAGTGGATGAAATAGATCAGTCATGGACATTTTTTTCATCCCCGGCCGTCCATCTACTTCAGCGCACCGCCGGCGTCGTTTCGCACACAACACGCAGCCGCCGCCGGACAGCCTTCGCCGTCGAGTCGCGCCGCAGTTCGCCGCTTCATAGCATCGTCACCTTCAGCAGACGCGACTCCTCGTCTTCCTCCGCCGCTGGCTCGCCGCCTCATCTCTGTCAGTCGGCTCGATGCCTCGTCTCCGTCCACAAGCACATATTTTCGACTCCGACAGTCACCACGTCGCAACGCCCTCATCCACCGCCACCGCCGCGTCACAACAGTTCCGTCGGCCGCCGACCAATGGAGGAAGACGCCTCTGATCTCCTGTGCGTGCGTCATGAGAGTTGGTGGTGTGTGTGGGATCTTCACGCCGACGAGCCTGTAATTTTTGGAGAGAGAGAAGTATTGAGCGATGGAGAAGAGAAATAGGGATGGTAGGTGGGGGAAAGAGAGATATGGCAGATCGGGAGATGAAAACATAGAGATGAGAGAATGGGTTGGGATGGTTGTGGAGCCCACTAAAGCATTTGTGTTCACACAAGTAATTACGTCCATGCCCTTTGACATAGAAAATTTACCTTAATTTTACACTGAAATTACGAATGTGCCATCGCCTATTCTGCGTGGTCTAACACTTGTGACCCCATCTTGACCATTAATCTGGCAGATCTTACGGTGTATATTTATTCTCGTTTCTTTCACTATCTCCCATTCTCATATGATCCCTTCTCTATATATATATATATATATATATATATATATATATGTGTGTGTGTGTGTGTGTGTGTGTGTGGGTGGGTGCGCGCGTATGTTTATTAATTTGAGTTTTTAGCAATTGGCATAAGGTGCTGTATTTTATTTGATTTTTCAAGGGACTACTAGTTTGGTTCGTGCGATAAATATTTTCGAGTTTCAAAAGATAAAAACTCGAAGAGGTTAAAGTTCTTTGTATCCGTAATTGAGTAATATTGGTAAATATTGGTCCACAGTTACACAATTTAAGTCCATTATTCATGAAAGGAACGAGATCGTCAAGTATAAGAGCGAGTTTCCTATTTTCCGTTTCGATTTTAAAAGTTTTGCTACTCTACATTATATCTATAATGTTGATCAATTTTCTTTATTTGTTGAGTAAAATATTAACATACAACATTGTATGCATTAAATTGTTCTAATGTTGATATATTTAATAATGTTGTAAGATATCATTAATTGAAATTTAGTTTGTACAATACAATCAAGTCAATTGAGACCCAACACAATTCGTAGCATTTACAATAATGGATTTAGACTGTTCTCGCATGTCATTTGATTCTTTCATCATGTTTAAATTTACTACTAGCATTTGCACCAACTATTTGATATGTTTGGTTCCTAGGAAAAATATAACGAATTGCATTGTCTGGTGGGAATATATAAACCTACTTCTTGCTTATAAGAGTCATTACAAACAAACGGTTCTCCCATGTGTGAATAATGCAGTTGTCTCCCATGGATGGTAATAATGCAGTTGTGTCGAGCTAGATTTTGTATAGATGTACAAAAGACTTTGAAAATTTTAGTTTGTGGGACGAAAAATTGCACAAAAGTCAAACTAATGGCGTTGTACAAGTAAGTTTTCAATAGCATATGATTTTTTCACGTCGAATAGTTTATAATTGGACAATAAACCTAAGTAATAGCTAATAACCTTCAACTAATAGATACTAGTTTGAAACTAAAAATGCCATGGTAAATTCAACTCAACTGCATTATCTCATGCACCAAAAATATCAAAGATTCAACAGCAATGGCTGGCCTTGAAAGAAAGAGCAATAACAAAAGAAATTATTTTGCATCCCCAGCATCCAAAATAGAGAATACAATTATTCCCCATAATAAACCAGTCATAATTTCATTCGGTTTCAGCTAGATATTCATATAACTTATCACGCTACTCGAATAATTCGAATAAAATGGACACCTTGGGGAAATTCATCCAACAGCCAGCTGAAAACCCAGAGAATCATGCCCCATCTTCCATCCTAATACAAGAAAAAGGGACAAAAGGTTAATCAGAAATAACATTGTCCAATTTAAATCACACAATACAGTCAAGAGAGTGGTACTGTGTTGGAAAGAGTAGAAGACCACTATCTCTCAGCAGAAGGCAAGAATTAAATCAGCTAAGCAGATTTTAAGAATTCACTGTTGACAGGAATTGAAATGTTCTGCCATCAATAAGAAATTGTCATCCAAGTAACGCGAGGATTATAGCATCCTCTGAAGATATCTGTGGGCATGCTAGCAATTGTCCGGTCAGCAAAATTAGCAACATAAATAGTTCAGGCATACATCCTGTCGCACACAAAAAAGCTAAAATTTGTTCTTAAACAAAAAACTCTAAATCCTATGTGTGCTGTTGTAGAAAAGAGCAAAAGATACAAAATATACATGTGACAATTGTAGTCTCTTCATCCCACAAAAAGGCTGGCTCGAACTATTTTCATTTGTTCCACAAAGGCACTTCTTTCTGTCAAGAGACTAGTCACAATTTACGCCCTTTAAAATTTGCATGGGCATCAAAATATTAAATCATAGAAACTAAAGTTTCCAAATTAAAGAATAAATTACGAATATAAAAATGATTTATGTTTCACTAAACCGAATGAAAAGGAACATTCTTTGTGGAGATAGAGATAGTAACAATTACATGAAAAGTAGCAGCAATGCGAACCCATCACAAAGAAATTATCATCCATAAATAAAAGAACACCTTGGGTGACGCCCAGAGTAAGAACATGAAAAAACAACTAATCTCAAAAGGACAGATTCCTCCAAGCATGATCTTAAACAAGAACCCATATATTGAAGACCCCTTCTCCAGATTATAATACGAATCTGAAAACTGAAATGACAATGAATTCATGAAAGAAAACTAGTAGTTTATTATAGTTCAAACTTAGACAAAACTAAAAGTCTTAAACCAGTCATAACTATTCCACCACCCAAAATACGATCACGTCAAAGTACTCAAACATCCATGGACCATATAGTAGATTAAAAACAATTCAGGCCCGAGCATCAAGTAGAAATGACAAAATCATTCAATACACACATCACCAAACCTCCACTGAATAACAAAGAACACAAAGGTAGACAACGCATAGCTACACAAAATACTAACCACAAACAATATACCTCAAAAACGACCAGGATTGAGCCCAAGAAGCATGTTGTTGTTTCCAGGCAGATACATCACGTTCCCATTCCTAGACATAGTTGAAGCATTATCCTTTGCAGCCTCAATCTTCCTCAACTCAATCAGACCCATGCCAGCAGCCTGAGTCGCATCCGAAATAAGCTTAGCAGACTCACTCTCACCCTCAGCCCTGATTATCGCTGCCCGCCTTTCTTGCTCAGCCTTTGCAACTACGAATTTGGACCTCTCGGCCTCCTGCTGGGCCACCTGCTTCTGCTCGACAGCCTTAGAGAACTCGGCTCCATACGACAAATGGGTGATTGCCACATCATCGAGTACGATATTGAAGTCCTTGGCCCTGCGGATCAGGCTCTCGCGCACGAGGGCCGAAACATGGGGCCGCTCAGTAAGCAGCTGGTCGGCATTGAACTGTGCCACTACAGACTTGAGAACCTCGTTGCCAATGGAAGGGAGGACTTTCTCGTCATATTCGAGACCTAGGGTTTTGAAGATGTCCGGCAGGCGGTTGACTTCTGGGCGGGAGAGGACACGGAGGGTGAGGTTCACCATCTGCAGATCCTTTGTGCCTTGGTGATAGGAAGAAAAGGAATTGGTATTATTTCAGTTAACTGTCAAATATGTCAACATAAACACCAGAGGAAGCAAGAGATTCTCAATCATGACATCAAAATCAATGAGCATCTAACATATGCTTTAAGTTATGCGCAATACTAACCTCCGTATATGCTGATTGCGCTCACAAATCAGAAAGGTTATATAAGAGGTTAACAGATCTACTGAGAGAATCAAAATAATGAAAATTAAGAAAATGGCACAAAACAGGAGGTGATATACCAGAGATGGAGGAGAAGGTGTGCGGGCGAGTCCGGATGTCGAAGATGAATGGCTTCTGAAGCCATGGGATCAAAAAATGGGTCCCTTCGCCGACAGTATCATCGATGATTCCTCGGAAACGGTCGAAGAGAACACAGCGCTGGCCTCCGTCAACGGTGTAGAGAGAGGAGTTGAGGACAGTAGCGCCGAGGCCGAGGCTGAAGGCGGCGCGAGCAATGTTGGCGAGTACGGACGCGGCAGCTTGGCTCATTTTCCTAGTTTTCTTTAAGCTTTAGTTTTTTACTTCTGACGAGGTTGCTACAGGATGGAGACTGAATGATCTAGAAAGAGAAATAAAGGTTGATTAGAAAGCACTTGATGGATTTTTGCTCAAGAAACTGGAAAGAAAGAGACTGTTAAACCCTAACCTAAAACCCAGCAGCAGGTTGATTAGAAAGCACTTGATGGATTTTTGCTCAAGAAACTGGAAAGAAAGAGACTGTTAAACCCTAACCTAAAACCCAGCAGCAGTTATGGGCCTCGAATGGGAATCGAATCTTAATGGGCTATAAGTGCCAACTCTTTCTTTGAAATAAGCACACTATATGTCCTTTTGAAAGGGATATGTCATAACATTGTCCTCTTTGAAGTTAGTCAATTGGGCCTTTGTGTGATTCATCTTGAAATTTCTAATTTTGAAGCCCATCCATAGGATAGACTGGCCCAAGAACCTTCAGGAGGCGGCCCAAACTCCAATTCGTTTTTCTTCTTAGATCCTATACTATACTATATATCTACTCTGAATAATCTCCCCTCTTCCCAATTTTTATATATATTCAATAAAAATCCAAGGGAGCTCCGTTGAATCTGAAAGCGAAATACTTTTTACTTGGCCATGAATCTGAATAGGAGCTCCGTTGAATCGGTGGCGGCTCAAATCCAAGGGCTTTCCGGCGGCGAGTTAACTCAGCTCCACAACTACTTGAAACAGATCGATAACACGCTCCACTCCGACCCGACTCAGCTCACCGCTCTGCTCAATGAACTTGATCCCTCCATACATTCCCTTGGCTGCCTCTACGTTTTGTAAATATTCTTCTTTCTTACACTAATATTCTTTTCGTCTTTTGAATTTGTTAAGAAGCGGATGGAATTAGTAGAACCTAGGGTTTACTGCAGTTGGAGTTCGACTTCATTTCTTATGGTGGCTGTGTGATCGCGGGGATACTGATAGCTCTTTTTGTTTCTTTTTTTTTTCATTTTTAATTATTATTGCGGCCTGTGTATTTTAGTTTGTTTCGTGCTTCCATTGTTTGCTGAGTAAGTGTTCACGAGGAGCTAGTTTATTTGTTATATTTGTAGCTGGTACCAGCCTACCAGGAAAATGATGTAGATGGCTTTTGTTATTCAGGCTGGAGCCTTGACCTACTCCTCTTGGTCATTTGAAATTTATTTGTCATTTATAACAGGGAGGCATTGACATCTGTGCCAGTTTCAAAAGATCAAATCAACGAGACTGTGCTCTCTATAGCTAGGTTTATTGATGTCTGTGCTGCCGAGCAAATTCGTTTAGCACCAGAAAAATGTAAGCAGTCCTTTATATGCAAGTCTTATAGTTTTCTCTGGTTGTACATTCCTAAATCTTAGTTGTCTCTTGACTTGCAGTTATATGTCTTTGTAAGCGGTTAAAGGATCAAGTCATGTTGCTGGCAGACCCCATACGTGGTGTGGCTCCACTGTTGACAGCCATACGCAAGCTGCGGTCATCCACGGAACAATTAACCACTTTGCATTCTGATTTTCTTCTTCTCTGTTTATTGTCCAAGTGCTATAAAACAGGCCTTTCCATTTTGAAGGAAGAAATATTTGAGGTTGACCAGCCTCGTGACCTTTTCCTGTATTGTTATTATGGGTAAGTTTCCCCAGTTATTATGTGTGACTCCCTATTATATGCTTACTTATATTTATTCCTTTTTATTTTAGTGAACATGGACATTTTGAGCCTTACTTACTCACTTTTGGGAAGTGAGATGAAATGTTCAAACTTATACATCAGGCGGATTTTTCATATTGGCGTATAAACAACCTCGATCCGGTTCAACGCCTCTTGAACCGTCCTTGAATCGCTAGAATGACTGTAAAACAGCGCCAGGGGTTGTCCCGGCATAGAACCTCCGACGCCCAAGTTAGTATTTGGGAGTGACATATGTATGTATAATAGCTTAGAATGTTCAGGGAGAGAGAAGAGAAAAGAGAGAGAGAGAGAGAGAGAGAGAGAGAGATGGTAATACCTCACCCCCTTATAGAGGGTCATTACCCAAGATCTTCCCGATCTACCCAAGTATTTGTATTGCCCAAGATTTGCCCGATCTTGCTGCCCAAGCATTATTATTTTCCAATTGTGTTCACACCACTCTTTATATGATGTGTTCAAACTGTTCTACCCTCTTAGGTAGCCGTTCTTGACGTATCCGAGATAAACAGCTCGGTCCCTTCTGTTTTGGCTATTCTGCCTGTTTGAGATCTGCCTTTGAGGTCGTCCACCGACCTCTTCGATTCCAGGTCGAGTTGCCTTGTCCTAGAGTCCTAGCTCGACTTGTTTTTGTCCTCATCTCAATGACTTCTCAGTGACCTGACAATTTTCCAACCTTTAACTGAGCTAACAGTCCTGTCAAACCGTCCGAGCTGCTATCATGTTATATGAGCTCTAGTGGTTGGTATGATATACCATATCACATGTTACTAATTTGGACTCAAAATTCAAGCTTCATCCTTCCAGACATCGATAGCGATGCATGTCACTTTAAGTTGAATTATCAATCATGATTGACTGGTGATCATTGTTCAATTGTTCAACTGATCATTTTGGCATCAAGTGCCATTGTTCTTGCATCTAAAGATACTGCATAGACCTCGTGGAAGCTCTATATGTTTCAATTTTATCATATAATTTTCTAATGGTGAAGTGGCACACCAAAGCATCCTTTCTGTTAATTGAAAAGGGGAACATTGTGTTGGTATGTGAAGCTTTTTGATCATTTTGTGAAGAAGGTACCCTAATACATAGTTGGTATTTGCTGTAACTTAGGGGCATGATTTGCATTGGACAAAAGAAGTTCAGCAACGCTTTGGAGCTCCTACACAATGTACGCAAAATTAATCCACTTTTTTTTTATCACATAATTTGTCATTATAGATATTATTGTACGTAATGATGCTGTGGCTTGCCTGTTAGATTTCGTATATCCGATATTTCTTATTGTAATGTTTTTTTTAGGTTGTGACAGCCCCCATGTCCATTATCAGTGCCATAGCAGTTGAAGCATACAAGAAGTACATTCTGGTTTCTCTTATTCATCTTGGACGGGTACGTGGAATTATATCAGTGTGATAGCATGGTTGTCCTCTTTATGTGTTGTTTCTATGTTTAATATCATTTATATTGTGCTGTAGAAAAGGATTTTGTTGTTGAAACCTGGACTATGATGAAGTTATTTCTGAGCCAAACCACAACGTTGATATGACAAAATGTCTTCGCATTTAAATTCTGCCGGTCACTATTTTGTTCTGTAAAGTTAACGAAAATCTCATCCGTGATGGCAGTTCTCTACCAGTTTTCCCAAGTATACTTCTTCGGCTGCTCAAAGAAATCTTAAAAACTTTTGTCAGGTAAATTTCTAGCAACCAATTTTCCTTTATTACTGGAAATGAAATGACCATTTCCATTTGTACCTCTTCTTGGTAAATAGGTGCTATTGTTAGTAGTCCAGTTCAATGCTTGGAGAACGTTCGGGACAGCAGAATATGTATTTTATATTTTGAATCAAGCATTTTCTAGAAGGATGAGGTTGACAGAAAATGAGAAATTGATTTTCAGTTAATGTAGCAAAACTAACACATATGTTGTAAATGAGCACTTTGTAACTGTACAGTTCTTTTGGTCGTTCCTAATCATATTTTGTGCTTATTTTTCATATATTTTGCAATTCATTGTATCATGCACAGCCCTACCTTGAGCTGGTGAATGTTTATAGTACTGGAAAGGTTTCAGAGCTTGAGATGTTCGTGCAGGCAAACAAGGACAAGTTTGCGAGTGTGAGTTTTTTTTATTCGTTAAAAAAGAAAAACGTCACATTTGACTTCTACTCATGTGTTCTGATAACTATATAATTTTCCTTCCACTTCCAGGACAAGAATCTTGGACTGGTGAAGCAAGTTATGGCTTCTATGTATAAACGCAATATTCAGAGGTTGACTCAGACTTACCTAACTCTCTCCCTTCAAGATATTGCTAATATCGTTCAACTGAGAAGCCCCAAGGAAGCAGAGATGCATGTTCTTCAGATGGTTGGTTAAGCATTTATGTGATTGATCCCATTATTATGAAATGACCAAATTCTTTGTCTTATGTGCTGATGTTTTCTTTTCTTTTTTCGTTCTTTTTTTAATAGATTCAACAGGGTGAGATTTATGCGGCGATTAACCAGAAGGATGGGATGGTTAGATTTCTCGAGGATCCTGAACAGTACAAAACCTGTGGAATGATTGAACGCATTGACTCCTCGATCCAACGGTGTGTGCAATATTAGTTAAAATTTTGGATCTGTATGTAACAAGAAAGTCTGTAGTCAATACCCAATACTCCTCTTCTGACAGAGATCTTTTGAACAAAGCACTGTACACTTCCATGTACATCTTTTAGAAGAAATCTAGTAATCATGCTAAGGCCCTCCTATTCGAAATGTCTTTTAGATGTTCACACTATTATGAACTATCATTAACAAAAGCACCCGACAATCGTTCTATCAAGAACATGACTCATGCTACAATTGTAGAATATTGGAATTCTCCAAAAGATATTTAGTTTGAATAGACGGGAGTTTGTGTTGTCCCCTTATTTTAATTGAGTAATTATTTTACACTTGTCGCTTCACAGATTATGTTGCTTAAAAGGTTCAGAGAGTGCACCTGCAAGATTACGGTATTGAATGTGTTGTGAAGCACTGACATGTATTGTTAATCTCTGTTTCAGAATTATGATGCTCTCGAAGAAGCTAACTTCTATGAATGAAGCTATGTCATGCGACCCTTCTTACCTGGGGAAGGTAAATTAAAATATTGATTACTTTCAATTTTCTTAAACTGTGCTCATGTAAGCAGTCGCAGCATATTGCTCTATCATTCTTCTGTCACTAATGTTTTTCCTTTGATCTTTTTTTTGGCTGCTTTGTTTTGTTCAGATTGGAAGGGAGCGCCAGAGACTTGATTTCGAAGATTTTGACACAGTACCTTCAAAATTTAATATATGAGCCCCGTAAAACTTGATTTTGAGGATTTTGATTGTGGAATGATGTGGACAAATGGGTTTGAATAGGGAAAGATGGAGTCGGTTAACTTTTGGTCGATACAGAGTTGATGTGGTTATGTTCTTGTTCGATAGAGCTAATGCAAGCATTTTTCTCGTCCCTTTTCTTTTGGCCGGCTGGCTGAGTTTATTAATGGCTTTTGTAAAGCTCAAGTTATGATTGCTTTTAAAAAATGTGATATAGTTAGCTGTTAGTGGTATTTTGAGTTTATAATAAAATAATATTTAAAATAAAACAATTAAAGTTGATTTGATATAAAAGTAAGAAATAGATGATGTGAAATGATTGTTAGTTAAAATTATGATGAGTATAAGAATGGTTGATTGATATTATTTAATTATATTAATAATATTGAGGATAGTGAGTTAGATTTGAGTTAAAATAAGTGAGTGACTAAAAATGGTTGAATTTTTTTAAAAAAATTTGTATCCTATGTATCCCCTTAAGTACTTGTTTGTATACAAATAAATCAGTTTTTTATTGGGTTTTT